CTGCTCTGGGTCCTGTCAGACTGTCACCAACAAAGAAGTAATGAGGCCTACTGTGTGCAGGCCCAAGACTAGCCTCGGGGCATTGGGCTGGAGGTGATGTGGGACATGGCCCCTCCGTGGTCTGCTGTCTGCTGGCTCCCAGCCTTCCAGAAACCACAGGAGCTAGAAGCCAGCCAGTGGAGTGAGGCCATTCATATACAACTCTTTATTCGATTCACCTGGCCTTGCAGGTTTATGGCAGGAATGTTTCCTTCTAATGGGGAAGGCAGACAGAGCCTCAGCAACCTATGACCTGTATATGAGCAGGGTCTATGTCAGAGGCTCAACGCACTGATAAGAGAACAAGGTGGGAAAACCTCATGAAGCACTCAGACCCTGGGGTCAATTGGACCTGGGTTCAAATTCCAGTCTCACCACCTGTTTACCAGTTGTGCATCCTTGGGTGTGTCACTTAACCTCTCTGAGCCTCACTTTGCTCACCTGTGAAATGGGTGTAATAATTCTTCTCAGGGAGTTCTGAAGATTGCAGAGATACTGTGTATAAAATGCTTAGCATCAGACTTGGCATACCGTAAGTGCTCATTAGTGGAGCTGGTATCCAATTAGAAGGATCTGGGAAGGCTTCTAGGAGGAGGTGGGGACACCAGCTAGGTCTTGAAGGATGGGAAGGACTTCAGTAGTGGAAAAGGCAAGGGAATGCCCTATATTTATGAAGAGAGACATAAGAGCTGGTTGTCTGTGTAGGGCTGTCCCCACTGCAGTTCCCCTAGAGGCAGAGGGGGGGGCCCTCTCCGCCCTCCCCCTCCCACTCCATCAGGATCCCTGTCTAGTCCTCCCCTCACTTCATCTTGCTCCCCCTTCCCAATGAGTATTTATCAGTCCTCCTGAGATGCGCTCAGCAGGGACCAATTTCCTGCCATCAGTCAGGAGAGGTGGCATTTGTAGGGCGGTGCAGAGGCCTGGGAGCGGGAGGGAGGGAACATGTGGTTCCTTTCTCTGGGACTGAGCGCTCTGTCCTGTCCTCCCCTGGCAGTCCTCTGCCCTGCAGATCTGTCTGCTCTGCCCTCTGGCTGGAGCTCTACGGCCAACAGGATGGAGAAGTGGGATTCTGGTTCCTGGAGGGGAAGGAAAGAGCCTGGACTGGGCTTGGTGGAGGGCCTGAGTCAGGGGAGGAGGTGGCAGTGCAGTAGGCCCATCGGTCCGAAGGGCCCCGAGTACGTGTGGTTGGACCCTTCTGAAGGAGCTCACTGATATTCTGGATTCATTCAACTTCGTGGCTCTGGGTGATTCAGAGCAGGAATGTGGGGGCTTGTGGCAAACTCTAGTCTCAATGGGAAACTGAGGCAGCAGCTCTGTGGCCCAGGAGGAGGTGAGTGGAGGCTATGACTCAGGCAATACAGAGGCCTGGGTTCTCCCCAAGCTCAGGGATATAGGCTCCCGGGGTCCTCTCAGCCCAGTCAGCGGCATTCTTGATTTAGAGCTCTGGGCTGGCCTCAGGCCTGCAGCTGGCCACTGCTGACAGCCTCCTCCAGGAAGCTTACCTGGATGCAACTGGCCAACAAGCCCTCCCTTTGGGCCTGGAGTCATGACTGGGTCTGCTGTGTTTCCCCAAGTCCCTGTTTCCTTAGTTAGATGTGGAGCTACAATTTATTGAACACTATTATATGCCAGACCCTGGGCCAAACGTATGATGTATATTAATTCATTTAGTTCTTTATCAACCTGGAGAGACGGACAATTAAAATTACCCCAATTTTTTTGTTTGTTTTTAGAAAATGGGTTTCAAGAGGCTGGCTCTTTGTTCAAAGTCTTTTTTCAAATGTCAGAATCCTTCCCTGACCACCTATTTTATTCTCCCCACCCCCATTCCCACCCCTGGTCTCCATCTTTTCTTCTTATTTTCTCCTTATTTATTCCTACCTTCCCCACTGAAGTGTAAGCTCCACGAGAGCAGAAGCCCTGTCTGTCTTCTTTCCCTCTGTGTCTCCAAGCCTAGAACAGTGCCTAGAACTGTGCCTTGAACAATGAATATTTGTTGAGCGAATCAAAGAATTGATGAGTGGATGAATGAATGAATGAATGAATGCCCCATGGCTGAGAATAGAAGATCAAGGATTCTAACCAGGAGCCAGGTTCAATAAAACACTACCTGCTGGCAGCCACTGCACCAATGTCACCAGTCACTGTTAAAGGGAAAGCAGCGTGTGCAGGGAGGGGTCATTACATGTAGTGGATGCCTTGGGACTGTGGACCTGTCTCAACCTGATTGAAGCTCTGGAATAAACATCATTAAGTCAAAGATGCTAAAATTCAGGCCAAGCCCCTCTTGTGGTTGGTGGATAGAGATAGAGACCAGTTCTGAGCAGCAGGGGCGGGGGACAGTGGCCAGGGAGGAGCAGTGACTTTCTTCGGATTCGTGGACTCTGTTCCTCACCCCTTCCATGCTGGAAGAGCCAGACATGGACGGATCTGCTATCTAAATGGAGCACAGCTGGGGCGGGCGGGGCTCTGGAGGCTGGGCGCTGCTCCCTCAGCTCAGACATTTATTAGGATTTGGGGCGGGGAGGGGGGGAGGAATTCTATTTGCCTGGGGATGATGGTGACTGGGAGAAGGGCTTTCGGGAGATGAGTGGCAGGAGAGATAAGCCTGATGTGTGACTTTCTGACGCTTGGTTGGTTTGAAAATAAGTCCTGGGCCCAGATAGGGATTGACAGGGGGCTCAGAGAGGGCTGTTTGCTTTCTCCTCCTGACTTTGAAAGGGCCCAAGAATCAGCAGACTGGGTCCTAGTGCCCGAAGAAGGTGGCTGTGGCATGGGTTGTCTTGGCCAGGCTGCTGTGGAGTGGGTTCCCAAGCTGATGTGTTTTGGAATCAGCCCCACTGACTCTAAGTTTCTGGACTGCTTTTGCTCTTGTTCTGGGAAGAAGCCTGAGTGCTCGGAGCTCACAGATGAAGAAGGAAGGGCTGGGAACATGCTGGGCATCTTCCCCGTGCGTCTCCAGACCCACTCCCCGCCCTCCTGCCCTGTGTTGAGGAAGGTTGATTGGTGTGGACACTTCTACAGGTTCCTTTGTCCTTCAGTGGGTCAGCAGGAAGGAGAATGCGGTCCCAGTCTCCATCCCCCAAGCCCATCCCTCCCTTCGCTCCCTCCCTGCCATGCGGTTGAGGGTTGGCAAAGACCCTCTGTGAAGCCGCAGCTCCTGCTGTGCAGCCCTGTCCCTACAACTGCAGCCTCCCAGTTCCCTTGCCTTTGCAGACCTGGGGTAGTAACAGCTCCCCATTCTTGCAGGACCGGGGTTCCTATACCACACCTCGTTGATTTCCCTACATCCCGCCCACACCTCTGTACATAGCTCCTTTATTTATTTCTGTTTAATTTGAATATGACATTTCACTCCTGCTGGGATCCTGACGGATACACCAGCCGTGACCACAAAATGGTGCTCCTCAGTGTGCCGGTGGTCCTGCAGAGCAGAGGGATAATGGAAAGGGGCTGTGGTCTGGGTTTCTGAAGGCTGCTCTCCTGCCTATGCAAATTGGCACAACCTTGGGGCAGAGGGCGAGTCTCACTACTGGGGGTCAAAGGGCGTGGGTGGCAGACCCTCCTCTACCTTTCCCTTTTCTCTTCTTAGGACCTCAGGTTTCTCATCTGTAAAGCGGGGGTAATGATAATTGTGGTGACTGCCAGGTGCCAGGCACGGTGTTAAGGACTACATGTGCATAATATCATTCGTTTTCCCAGCAGCCCTGTGAGATGGCTTCTCTTCACATCCCTATTGGATGGATGAGGAAGGTGAACCTCAGAGAGGGGAAGTGCCTTGCTCAAGTTCACAGTCTGAACGTGGTAGCCTGGAATTCAAACCCAGCTCTCTCTCTGCTCTTAATCCCTGTGCCTTCTCTGCCCACCTTCTTGTGTCATTTGAGAAGTCAGACCCAGTGGCCAGCTCTGCAGCTGCACCTTGGAATCAGCAAAGGGCAGCTCTCATGATGTCTGCAGCTCAGCATGGGGACAGGTCTGGGTGGTGGAGCTGGCTTCTTCCCTTCCCATCCCTGTCATTCCAAAGAGAACAAGGCAGAGGTAGCTTTTGGACAACATCACAGGCCCCACCCTCCTCTGTTTCTCACCTGGGTGGAGGTCCTATTTTTTCCTTGCTTTGCACTGTGAGAGATGGATTGCCTTCATGGGTCTTATGAGCAATCTACCTGTATCCACTCTGGTATCCTGCCACTTTGCAGCCCCTCCTACTGTGGCGGTGGGCGTGGCCATGTGACTGGCTTTGGGTAATCGGCAGTACCCAACCTGGGGCAAGCGGTAGTTAGAAAATTGTTCTCTTGGACCCCTGCCACTACCATGAGAGCAATCCAGCACTAGCCTCCTGGGAGATGAGAGGCCATGCAGAGCCATCTCAGGCGAGGCCTTGCCAGACCAGCCAGTATCCAATCAATCTGCCAAAGATACATTAGCCAGGTGAGATCAGCCAAGCCAGGCTCATGAAAAATAAGTGGTTATATTTTTAAGCCCTTAATTCTGGGATTCTGGAGGTTTCTCTCCTTGAGGCATCTCTTGCCTCACCAGTGCCAGGCCATATCTGGGCTTTGGGGCCTGGGGAGGTGAGGACAGGCGTGGAGGTTTCTACTTATACCTGGTGCCTGGACAATGTTCTCCCTTCTCTCTGGAACCCTCACCCTCAGGCTTCTCAGCATCTTTTTTTCCTGAAGGTTTTGCCCAAGTCCCTGGACTGACTGTGAATGGGGGTCTGTTTTCTGGCTGAAAGAAATCAGAAGCTGAATATGGCACAGGAGACACGGAGCCCAAAGCACTATGGCCCAGGGACTTCCCACCACCACCCTTACCCTACAACCCCACTGGAAAAGGGAGAAAGGGTTTTTACACCCAAGGCACTGGGGCCCCCAGTGTCCTTGGGTGTGAAACCAAGGTCGTCCCTGGCTTATTTTCCTTCCCCTCCCCAACAAGTTGATTCTCATCACTGTGTTTTGCAGGTAGGAACCCAGCGCTACCTCGTCTCACTGCTGGGAACGCTATCTCATTGTCCATGGGTGGACTTTCGGGACAAGGGATAGGCAGCTCGCGGACCTCAGAAACCACTGGACTAGAGGCTCCTGGGAGACAGACACCATGTCTGGTCCATTCCTGTACCCCATGCCCAGCATCGGGGGAGCACATGCATTTTATTGCCAATGACACGGAGAGACAGCTGGTTCGGCAAACGGTCCCCCAGCCAATTTCTGTCCTAGCTCTTCCTGCTCCCACCCCTTCCTCATATGGGCCATTGCTGTTCCTACAGCTCTGGGAAGCTGTCTCCTGTCTCCAGGACAAAGCCTTGGAGTCTTCCCCTGTCCCCCAGTCTCTCCCGCTCTCCCCAGCTCCCTTCCTTATATGAATCCTGTTGGGCCTTGTGTATCTTGGGACCTTTGCCTGCTGCAAGTCACCTCTCAGGCCCCAGGATGGCTGGACACAGGTACCTCTTTGTCTTTCTAGGGCCGTCCATGGCAGCCCCGCTTTCATTCCAATTACTTCTGGCCCCACCCCTGACAGACAGAGGGGTCACTTTCATATTTAAAATGTAACTCAATTTAACATCTTAATAGGTAATAAATTCTCCTGGTCCAAGGGTACCGACAATGAAAAGCCCTCGTCCCACCCTACTCCCAGCATCACAGCTCCCTCCATGGAGGCAGTGTTACCAGTTCCCTGTGTGCCCTTCCAGAGATAGTCTAGGCATCTACAGGTAAATATATGGAGATATACACGTATTTTTATGAAATGTACTCCCCCCTCTTCTGTTCACAAATAGTACCATATAATCCACAGGGTTCTGTGCTTTGTTTTGTCACTTGACACTATATCTTGGAGATGACTTCCTAGCAAGACAGGAAGAGCCTCCTCATTCTTTTTTTTTTTTAAAGATATAATTCCTGTACCATAAAATTCACTTCTATAAAAAGTAAAATTAAGTGATTTTTAATTGATTCACCAAGTTATGCCACCATTACCGGTATCTAATTCTGGAACCTTTCCATCACCCCCCAAAGAAACCACATACTTGTTAGAGTCACTTCTCATTCTTTTCCACCCCCAACCTCTGACAACCACTAATCTATTTCTTGTCTTCATGGGATTTGCCTATTCTGGACATTTATTATAAGTGGAATCATATAATATGTGGCCTTTTGTGTCTGGATTCTTTCACTTAGCATGATGTTTTCAAGGTTCATCCATGTTGTAGCACGTATTAGTACTTTATTCCTTTTTATTGCTGAATTATAGTCTGCTGTACAGATATACCACATATTTTTTTACCCATTCATCAGTTGATGGATATTTGGGTTGTTTCTTCCTTTTGGCTGTGATGAATGGTGCCGCTATGAACATTTGTGTACAAGGCGTGGTGTGGACATAGGTCTTCAATTCTCCTGGGTATGTACTTAGGAGTGGAATTGCTGGATCAAGCTTCATTCTGTTTACAAGCCACCCAGTATCTCACTGGATGCATATACCACACTTTAAATAAATAATCACCTGTTGATGGACCTTTATTTTAGTCCCCCCTTTTAACTATTTCAATGATATGAGAAATAATTTTGTACACTCACCAATTTACACATACACACACACACGTGTGTGTGTGTGTGTGTGTATTTTTTTTATAATCCCTAGAAGTGTAATTATTGTGCCAAAGGGCATATGTATTTGTAATTTTGATAGATGTTGCCAAATTGCCTGCCCCTCACCCCCTGAGATTGTACCAGCAGCAATAGATGAGACATCAATTTCTTCTCAATTTCACCAACACAGTGTGTTAGCAAGCTGTTTGATCTTTGCCAACCTGATCTGTAAAAGATCTATCAGGTAGTTTTATTTTGCATTTTTCTTATTATGGGTGAGGTGGAGTATCTTTTCAAATGTTTAAGAACTATCTCTATTTCCTTTACCATGAACTATCTTTGTACCCTCTGCTCATTTTTCTATTGTGTTATTGGTCTTTTGCTTATTGATTTATAGGAGCTTTTTATACAAGTGGGAAATTAATACTTTATTTGTGATAAGTACCAGATAGTTCTCTTAGTTCGTTGTTTGTCTTTTGAGTTTGCTAATGGGTGATTTCTGCCATGAAGAAGTTGTCTTTTTTTTGACATTCCATATTATTTAATATTAATTTCAGGTGTACAGCATAGTGGCTAGACATCTATAT